CTTCTCCAGACTTCTCCAGATCTGTGCGATGCTTTGTGATTTGTCGCGCCAACGCTGCCTGGGACTTTGACTCCCTGGACTTTTTATTATGCTCAGCCTGAATCTGATAGATTTTTTCTTATTTTCTGTGGTACCATCTGCATTGAGCGTTTTGACGTCAGCCTGTGGCATCGAGTAACTATAGCTAATAGCGTAGATCCAGTAGCCTGTTAGATGCATCGTGTGATGGGATTGGACTTGGTGGTGGTTCGTTTGATAGATCTGAAGTTGAGATGTCCACTGGCTGGCGTGCTTCTTATGCCACTCATACAGGTCCTGGATGTCAGAAACCGCTCCTAGTGCGCTTATCCATCTGGTAAAAGACAAAGCATTTGCGACTTTGTCGTCTAGAAGAGCGGGTTTGTCTTCAAAAGAGAAGTTTCTCCTTCAGAGACAGATAAGCTTGGTTGTTCCGAGAATATCATGAAGCTGTGGTAGGAAATTTTAGGAGTAGATAAATATTGGTCCACTAGAAATTTATATCACAGTTCAAGGTTTCATCTTCCAAGCGAGTGGTTTCCGTCTCTAGAAGAGCAAAATCTTATTTGGATCCTTAGAAGCTGCACTCACCGAAGAGGTCGGGTATGGGTGCGATGATGTACAAACAGGAATGGATGTTTTTCCAGTAGGAAGTAGTTACACATACATATAACTAGAGCATCCAGCACACCCGCCTTCACGTAAACCACGCAAGCAACCTGTTCAATATCTCATCTACTTACCCCCGGTCATGGTCATATCATTCGATTGATACCACCAAAGTGAGTAGTAGATCTTGAAATATCCAAAGAAGCGACCATCAAATTCGTCATCAGCACCTACTAGGAGCAATTCACTGCGACAAAGTAATGTTTATACAGCTGCTACTTGTTTCGTAGTCAGTCTTCTTCGTCTTTCTTTCGATGATTTTCACCTCAATCACTTCGAAATAGCACAACATATAAGCAGACTATGTGAGTTAAGTACAGACAGCGACGACATTTGTCACCTGTAATACCCATCAATCAAGGATTCAAGTGACATTACGGTATCATTTTCAATTGATGGTGGCTAGTTCATGGCCTCATCTAAGTTGAAGTAATATTATTGTAGTGACGTAATGCGTTCGATGGAATCGATGGTATCAACGACTGATGCCCTTTAGAATTATTCAAGGGCTGACGACGATGACGGTGAAGATGAATTGAAGCTGGATTGTTTGGTTACGTTGAACTACAGACATGGATGGCATGTCGGAGACGCTGACTTAAGCGGTTTAGATGATGACTGTTGCGTGGACTTCTTAGGGGCAGTTGCGGCATGATAAGGTCGGAGCTTGGTAGTTACAACACAAACATCTATAAAATAGAGCAAAATGTAATTATAGAAGCAACAGAGGCTTGACGTAAGCTCATGTCGCGAGGACATCTCAAACATGTATCAAGAGAGTTAATATGGCTTGTTTGTCGAAGTTCTACACTGCGGGGGACGTCGAATCAGAAGCACTGTGATTGGTTAGAGTATGATTAGTCATCTACCGATGACAGATTACTAAGATCTCGATATAGAAATATTTACTACTTCAGCTTCATGAAGCCGAAAACGGAAAACTCTACAAATTGCCTACGATGCGAGCCAAATGAACGAAACGAGTCGTAATTCAAGTTTTGTAGGATCAACTACATAAACTTAAAGTCTAATTCCGTAATTCCATTGTTTTGTTTGATCATCAAAGGTTCATCATGCCATTTTCACCCTGCACCAGCTTATTTCTTACCGGCCTTCTGGGCGGCCTTGGTGACCTTGCCAGAACCACCCTCCTTCTTCTCAACAGCCTTGATGACTCCAACCGCAACTGTCTGTCTCATGTCGCGGACGGCGAAACGACCAAGAGGGGGGTAGTCAGTGAAAGCCTCAACACACATGGGCTTGGAGGGAATCATCTTGACGATGGCAGCGTCACCGGACTTGATGAACTTGGGGGCAGATTCAACAGACTTTCCGGTACGGCGGTCAATCTTCTCAAGGAGCTCAGCGAACTTGCAAGCAATGTGAGCAGTGTGGCAGTCCAGGACGGGAGCGTAACCAGCGCCGACCTGACCGGGGTGGTTGAGGACGATGACCTGGGCGGTGAAGCTCTCACAGCCAAGAGGGGGGTCGTTCTTGGAGTCACCGGCAACGTTACCACGGCGAACCTCCTTGACGGAAACGTTCTTGACGTTGAAACCAACGTTGTCACCGGGGACACCCTCCTTGAGCTGCTGGTGGTGCATCTCAACGGACTTGACTTCAGTGGTGACGTTGGCGGGAGCGAAGGTCACGACCATACCAGGGGCAATGATACCGGTCTCGACACGACCGACGGGAACAGTTCCAATACCGGAGATCTTGTAAACATCCTGGAGGGGAAGACGGAGGGGCTTGTTGGAGGGACGGACGGGGGGCTCGATGGCGTCGATGGCCTCAAGGAGGGTCTTACCAGTGACCTTGCCGGCCTTGGTCTCCTTCTCCCAACCCTTGTACCAGGGGCAGTTGGGGGAGGGCTCGAGCATGTTGTCACCGTTGAAACCGGAGATGGGGACGAAAGGAACACCCTTGGGGTTGTATCCGACCTTCTTGATGAAGTTGGAGGTCTCCTTGACGATTTCGTTGTAACGGTCCTCGGACCACTTGCAGGTGTCCATCTTGTTGAGGGCAACGATGAGCTGGCGGACACCGAGGGTGAAAGCAAGCAGAGCGTGCTCACGAGTCTGGCCATCCTTGGAGATACCAGCCTCGAACTCACCAGTACCGGAGGCAATGATGAGGATAGCGCAGTCAGCCTGGGAGGTACCAGTGATCATGTTCTTGATGAAGTCACGGTGACCGGGGGCGTCTAAGATGGACGTTAGTATATTGATTTGATGAAGAGAGAACTCTGTGAGTACATACCAATGACGGTGACCTCATACTTGCCAGTCTGGAACTTCCAGAGGGCAATGTCGATGGTGATACCACGCTCACGCTCGGACTTGAGCTTGTCAAGAACCCAAGCGTACTTGAAGGAACCCTTACCGAGCTCGGCGGCTTCCTGTAGGATGTAGTTAGTACCGTGTCTTGATATGATCCTGTTGGATGTATGATCCTCCTTACCTTCTCGAACTTCTCGATGGTACGCTGGTCGATACCACCGCACTTGTAGATCAGGTGACCAGTGGTGGTGGACTTGCCGGAATCGACGTGGCCGATAACGACGATGTTGATGTGAGTCTTGTCCTCCTTACTGTTGAAGAAGATAGCCGTTAGCCGATGTCCTTCCTCTCTTAGATGATGGATTGTTGTCTGAACCTACCCCATGATGACGGTTGTGAATGAACTCGAAGTTCTTTTTTGGAATTAGATAGAAAACGTCTGTAGAAAAAATTGCTCAGATACTACGGCCAGAACGCGTAGAGGTGCTGAGCAACAAAGTCAGTTAGAGAGAGGGATGAATGAAGAAAGAGAGAAGAGACAGGAAGGAAGAGAGAGATGGGAGGGGAAGATATACGTACTGAAGCGGACGAGGGAGGAAAGGGAAAGGAAAAATTTGTGGGAGGGGGAGGAGGGGAAATACTTATATGGAGGGGTCAAGCGAGAAGGCGACTAAGCGGGCGGGCTTCAACCCTTGGCTTTGACTTGTATTCATTGGACATGGAGGGGTAATGCCCCCACCACGCAGGTGCGGGACCAACGCAGAATCTTCACGGCGGAGCCTTTTCCAGACTCTACTGGACACGCTTGCAGCCCAGCAACGACTGCGCGATCAGCCTGTCCTTTTCTCGCCTTTCCTTGGTTCCTCGCCTTCGGAGCGCCGAACTACGACCCCACCTTGACCACTCTTTCATCGAAAATTTTTCTCTCTCTCGGTCCCCTCCCTCCGGTCCTCTTGTCTATCTATCTGGACCTAACTCATCTAGCTCTATCCGTTGGTAAATAGTGGATTATTGGACTGAAATCCTGGGCATCAACGCAGCGGTGGGTTGATGATGGCCTGGCCTGTTTGGTCATGTTTGCAACCGAACCCCGCGGCAAGCGGCTGTTGTTATTTGTCCGCTCTCAGGCTGCTGTGGCACGGCCGAGTGGCGCCCGCCCGGTCCACTTTTTTGGTGGAAATCCTTGTGAGGTCAACGACCAACGTAGCAAACTAGATAGCAGCATCAGCAGTGGGAGTATAGCAATGTTGGTATTTACTCGGGACTTGTACTCGCTATCATGGGTTGATGCTCAATAATATCTCAAATTCTTACTAGCGATTCACACTAAAAAAATGATGTGGACACCCGACAATCTCAAACATCATCGCTTTTTGATAGTGGGATGGCTGGTGCGGCAAAACATGTGAGAGAAAATCTTTTTCTTTTCACTTGCCCACATCAATTTTTTTGCCATCATCACTGCCCCTCACTTAGTGTCTTGACCTGACAGTGCGGTTAGGTATCTAGCCTTTCTCTTTTCTTTTTATTTCGTCTTTTTTCTTTTCCCATTCTTAACCAACCCCCTTCCTCTTTGGGACCCCGACAGTGGCTGTTTTGAGGATGAGAAAAAAGAAGTGAGAAAAAAATGACTCAAGATTTGGTACCGTACCAGAAACAACACACACAAAGGATCCTTTCTACAAAGTACCACTTATACTCCTACTAACTTGGTAGCTTACCTGGATCTGGCCAATCCCAATCGGGCCATTATTTGCCCGCCGTTGCCAGGTTACCATGAATAGTTAGTACGTAGATTTTGTTGGCGGCGGCAAATTCTGTAGGAGGGGGGAATAGGAACGGAAAAAATGGTCCCAAAAAAAATTAAATACAAAAAAAAAAAAAAAAAAAAAAAAAAAAAAAATTGGATCAACGAGGCGGGAAGAAAATTTCTTCTTTTGCGCTTAATCTGACATACTTTTCTTAGCTCACTCCAATAGGGAGTAGGCGTGTAGTTTAACCACTCTTGTATAGTAGTTGCTATGGATTGGTGTCATCATCCATTGAGGGGTATCTCTAGTAATCTCGATGTAAATCATCGCAAATGGGAACAACCACAATCGCAGGGGCCCAGATCATCATCCTAATCATACACCGTAGCACCAGCCTTCCCTTTTTTTTTTCCCTTTCCTAAAATTCCCGTTCTTCCTCTACGTTATCCCCCGCCCCTCTATTATTCGAACAACACATATTGTTCTCCAGGGATATCTCCATAGTCCAAACTCTAATGCTGGAGTAGCCTCAGTTCTCTCTCCATCGGGCACCACACGTGGTACACTGTCAACCGCAATCAGCAAGGCATGTCAGGCCAGATGCATGAGAACCGCATAAGCCGCTGGTGCGCACCCACCTTTAGGAATGTGGTCATCGGTTCGTCTGCACTCCGAATCTGCAGCTGGAAAAAGTATGCGCGGTCGCCATTACAGTCTTCTGCGGGGCATTGAGCTGCGGGTAGGGAAAAAGGGAAGAGAAAGCACAACATTAGCCCCAAGCCCCCAAGTTTATTCCAACAACCGTAGGGAAAAGTGCCCCTCCAGGCTTGTGACTTACTGGCCACGCTATCTGCATTTGCGAATTCTTCCTTGCCTCCAAAGACATCTTCCACTTCCTTCTGCTTCATGGGTGTCTTCTCAAACCAGCTCTGGTCCAGGGCATATTGGTATGGGCAGGTGCGGCATTCGAATCGATTGACGCCTAGGGGATGTCTTGTGGTTGGTTCCGCACGAGAGATCGTGAGCGCATTGCTGCAGTTAGGGCAGACTGGAAAGTAAAAAAGCGAGGGTTGGTTAGCAAGTACTGTAGATGTAGGGGCTGCAAGAGGAGAAAACTAACAGGTCAACGGCATCGTGAATGTTGCTTGCTTGCTTGCTTCTTCCTGGGTGAAAGTCCGTCAATCAATCAAGGGATCAATCAGTCAGTCAGTTTGTAGCACAATTCTCGCATAGCATAGCCTTCATAAAGGCGGTTACGGGACTGGTGCAGCTGCCACTGTCCGGCGCAAGTAGTAAGGGTCGCAGCGATCTGGACGATAATCGCCGGCTAGCTGCTGAGGCTCTTATCGACCGGCGATTTCGTTGGCGGAGAGATTCACCGCCGCCGATTGGACGCGGGGCTGCCTGGCCGGCCGGAGTAACCTCCCTTCCGAATGGCTGTCCGCGGCGGGAGTCATGCATCCATTCCACTGCACTGTATGCTCGGCCGCGGGGAACAACAATAGGAGACAGTATCCTACTGATAGTACTTTCAAACGCAGCTGCAAGGAATCTACATCGATAAAAGCTTTCTGTGTTTTCCCTCACCGTTCAGGGTTACTGACTCACTACCCTGAAACACTACGTCGATTGTTTCAGTTGCTTTGAGGCATTGCTGATCCCCAGTCCTCGTTTCCGACACCGCCTCCTTTACCACCTTCGCGGCTAACCCGGCCCCATACTTGCGGCATTTGTTTGACCCCTCCGCGCAACCACCTTTGACTATTCAAGATACAGCTACTTGTCATACTCTACACTTGTCATTTCCCAAGAACAACCAACCATGGCTGACGAAGTGAGTGCTGCAGTACCCCCACTCCGGTTCCATTGCTAACAAGCATTGGTTGCATAGGGCGCTTCCCCCCGTGAACTAGTCGTAGAGGCCTGCCGTCGAGATCAGCCTCATTTGATAGAGAGTGTCCTGGAGCGTATGGAAGGAAAGTCGAATGAAGAAGTGGCCGAATTCTTCAACGGTGTGACGGATTCGATGGGGAACCACGCTCTTCACATATGTGCTGCATACGGTAGCTGTAAGTGAACACCCCTCATTGAGACCACAGCCCTATCCTCTTGGCATCAGCACTGCCTTATACACATGCTAATCTAATGACATTGTGTTGCAGACGACGTCATGGACGCCCTCTTCGATATTCAGTACTTCGAATGCGACCCCCTCACCCGTCTGGACAAAGATACCCCGCTGCATACCGCCGTGCGTTATGCGAACGAGAAAGACGCCGAAGTAGGCGAGGAAATGATCAAGATGATGTGCGAAGCCGGTTGTGATCCGCGTGTCAGGAACAAGCACGGTCAGAAACCAGCTGAGCTCGTCTACAATAACCCGGGGATCAAGACCACGCTACAGCAAGCAGAGTACATCATGGCGGAGGGGCTAAGGGAGGATGCGGACAATGGATCGGTTCACGACAGCGCCAGTGACAGCGAATAGACGGCAACAACTGTGTATAGCGACTTTTTTTGATCATAGATATACCACTGATGATTACTTTGTTCCTGTATTCGAAGCATAGATGGCTGTTCGGATGCATGCGGCCAGTCCGCGGGTCTAATATGAATTCTTGTTAAATCATCAGTGGTGTTTTGGGCTGGTACCAACTATGATCTTCTTCCATACCAGGTGAGCAATCTATGCAAGTCACGAACCATAATCAACGGGTATCATTCAGACAGAATTTAGCTAGCAAACAATACAACAAACAACAAGTCATCACATAAACAAAAAAGAAAGACATGGTGGTCAACCATCACTCTCCTCTTCCTCACTCTCCTCCTCGGCCTCAGATTCAGGCAGCCGCCTATTGACCCGGCGGCTAGGCTGCTCCCGCCTCTGCCTTTGCCTCCCGCCCTCCTCTTCATCATCACCACCACCACCCTCCTCAGCCTGCTCTTCCTGGGCACGCGGTTCCGGCTGCTTAAGCCCAAGACTCCGCGCCAACCGGATCTCAAACTCATCATCCCTCTCACTACCCTCAGACTGTCCATAGACCTCCCGGACCAACCTCGCAACCCCCTTCGTCCCCACCTCAATCTTCCCCCTAGGCCCAAGGATATATTCAATGACCTCCTCCCCACCATCCACGTCGCGATTGCGCACCAAATACCCCTCTTTACACAACCGCTGCAAGAACCGATCCGTCCGATCAATAGGCGTCCACGCATCCGTATTAGTCCGTTTCAGATACCTCTCGAGCTTCTGCTCATGAATCGTGCCCCCATTAAGCACAATCACCGCGATAATAAAACTATACAGCCCCGTATATGTACTCTCCATCGGCGCCCTACTAGGCAACAAAATCTCGGGCTTCCGGTACTTTGTCGGCAACGTAGTCGTCACTATCCAGGATTTGTTCGTGGATGAAGGCTTTTCAACCTTTTGCGCAGCTGTTCACATCCACATCCACATCCACCAGTTAGCCAATACACTCCTTCACACAACCCCCATCACAAGAATTAGATAGAAAAACTCACCCCTCCTCTGCTGCACCGTAACCTTCTCCTTAACCGGCAACTCCATCATCTCCATCCCAAACTTCTCCTGCAACACTCTCTGCGCCTCCTCAAACACCGTCTTGAACTGTCTCGTCCCCTGCTCCCCCAGCACCTTAATACTAATATCCGAACGTCGGATCGGCAGGCGCGAGAACTCGCTCGCTAGCGCTAACCGCACCATCTTCTTCACCATCACGTCCGTGCTACTGGGCGCTCGCGTATCGTACGCATCATCGGAACCGGCATTGTCGTCGTCGTCGTCGCCATCGTCTTCGCTATGCGCCGCCGCTACCCGGCGTCGTTGCGTCGCGGGCGTGGGAACGTCGTCTTCTTCGCTGGGTGAGTCGGGGACCTTTGCATGCAGTTACATGTTAGGCTTGAGCTTGGTGAGGTGTATAGGTGTGTGAGTGACATACCGCGCGGCGTTTACGGGCAGGTGCCATTTCTTCTGGTCTTCTTTTCTTTCTCTCTATCTGGGTGGGGGAGTGGGTGTTGTAGTTGTATGTGGATGCTATATTGGCAGTCTACATCGCAATGAGCATCTGGTCTCGTCCTGTCTTTTCTTGTGTTGTTTGTTTGTCTGTAAGGACAGGCGTATTGATTGTTGCCGACGGTTTCCTTTGTTCGGTGGAACGCGCTGCGGCGCGACTAGATTCGGGTGGGGCGCGGCGGGCGTGATTTATCCTATTTGGGTGATGGGTGCTTGGCGGGTGCGATAAGGGTTTGATACTACAGGTTGGTTGCGCAGCAATTGATGTGTGCTTTGAGCTTTCATTGAAATTGTTGTTTAATTACTGGATTGGTGGTTTTACGGGGTAGACTGTCTTGTTTGGTGGGTAAAAATAACTTTAGCCACATAGTGGTAGGGCCTAGTTTGGATGGTTTCAGTATACGGTTCTCTTTGTTCTATGAAGCGTTAGTTCGACTAGTTATTTCTACACTTTGCAGCAGTACCATGGACGAGCTAGTGGCAGGTATGCCAAATACGATTATGAAAGAAATGTTTTGGGTCCAATAGGTGGTCAGGGGGGAGCTGGGGTAATCAATAGCAATAACAAAAAAAAAAGGAAAGATGGAAGAAAAAAGAAATCTCCCCGACTGGGAGTCGAACCCAGGTCTCCCGCGCTTGTTCCCGAAGTGGGATTGACAAGCGGAAATCATGACCGTTAGACCATCGAGGATTTGATTTGTTGATTTTGGTATTTTTGACATTATGTTTGGAGATAGCACTTGGGGGTTCATGTTGCGTTTGAGGGAAGTTTCGTTGACTCTATTGGTTTTAGGGTGTTGTTTGGGGTGGCGGTGTAAATGATAATGAGGATACTCTAATAATGCTAAGTTTATGTGTCAGTTTGATTGTCAAGCTGTGCGCTGAGTGGTTGTCGGTGCTTGCTAATACTAGTAGTAATACCAGCTCAACACGTTCCCGCCGTTATATATTCACGGCACCACTATCGTTAACGGTCTACAGCGACATTGACACCATGACAATATGCAGATCACCATATGCACATTAAATACTACCACAGATAGAATAGATACTGCCACTTATCACCAACGTTATAATCACTGGGTAGGCATAGACCTGAACGAGCAAAACAATTATCGAGATCTCGCCATATACACGACCACCAACGTACGTGCGCCCACATCCATCTTCAACGCAAACGCCGTAATAGGAAGCCTATACCTGTAGGTCAGTTACAGAAGTCTACGTAGACTGTAGTAGATTTACTACCATATGCCAGTAATAAGAAATAACCTATGCTTGTATTGCTCGGGTTGGCCCCGGCGGGATATGAATTTAATTGGATCGATGCACCAATCACGGCCACTATATTCCCGCGCAGCCCTAACTCGATGTTTCCGGCGACATCAACAGCCAAGGATTCCCCCAAATTTCCCCCAACACGATGACATGCACGGGGTGAATGCGCCCAATGAAACCAGCTTCACAGAAACCAGAAAGACATGAAAACACTAGTTATGTGCCACTGACTGTTATGGCGCCAGGACTGCCTTGAACACCCCGAAAGCTAGCAAAATGGTGATATTAGATAGAAAAGGACACCGAAAGTTGAAACGAAATATCGAACTTTTATCGCCCAATGCATCTTACTCACTTGATCGCACCGGATTCCCACCAAACAATAATTAGATTTTAGCTTGCCACCGCCATCGGTAATTAAGGCACGACCACCGCGCCATGGAGAACATGCCCATCGCGATGACCAGAACGGCACCGAGAAAGGCCACCATGGCCTGCTTTCCGACCGTCTCGATCATCTCACCACCAATGGGGATACTGATTAGGGTACTGCTCAGATGTATTAGCACATTCCTCTACAATAGTTCGGGCGGCATACGCAAAGCTGACGGTCAGATAGCAAACCCCGAATCTCCCTCCCACTTCGCTGGCTTTGGAAATTTGACCGATGCAAGCTGGCGCCAGACTAATAAAGGAACCGGAAACAAACCCATATACACAGCTGAAGATATAGAGTCCCGCCAACTTGCTTCCGAAGGGTAGCCAGATGACAAAGACCGCCACGGCACCCAGGCCGAGCAGTCCTATCTGCGTGTTGATTCGCCCATACTTGTCTGCGACACCACCGGCGACGAGGCGACCAATGGTAGAGCACCTAGAGAATTGCATCAGATTTGATCGGATTTTCATAGTTATGGTATCATGTCGGCTCCTACACGTTCAAAATAGACAGAAGGATGATGCTGGTGGTTGTGCCAAATCCCTGCATTACAACATATGTCGGGTAAAGACCCAGGCAGCCAAAGACTTCCAGCTCCATGACTACAGATCATTAGCAGACTAATATTATTCTACCAGAGACCGAAAATCTTGGACTTACCGAAAGTTCCCATGGTCAACCAAGTAAACCTGGCATCCTGGAACGCACGTACGTTGATGCTCGGTTTACTCTGGCTCCTCGGTAGACGAGAACGAACAAAAGCGATTCCCATTGCACACAAGGTCCCCACAATCAATGCAAGTAGCCGCATGGTCCACTTATATCCAAGGTCCTTGAACCCTGCCCGGAGAACCCAGGGGAATACCACACCCCCAACTCCCGCTCCGGCCATCGCCGTGCCCATGGCCAAGCCAACTCGGCGATCGAACCAATGGGGAACGGCAGAAATGGCAGCCGTGCTCAGCAAAGCGGCGCCCATGCCAGTGAGAACACCAAAGGTCAGGATAAATTGCCAGTAGAGTTGGCATTCGGCCATCAATAGCAGGCCCGCGACGTAGCAGGCTGTCCCAGCGATGAGAATGCCCGTAGGTCCGTACCTGTCGAACATCGGACCAACCTGGGCGCCCAAGCCTAGGCCACAGAAGACAAATAGACCCGGGATCCAACCGATGACACTACTAGTGTAGTCCGAGAGCTGGTGGCTGGCAAAATAACTCTGCAGGACACCAGTAGAGTTCATCATGCCGTAACTGCTCATGAGTAGAAAGAAGGACCCCAGAACAACAACCCATGACCGAGTTCCACCATCTGGAAATATATCATGGGGAGTAGTGTCACGGACGTGAAAGGTGCTGGTGGGGATCTGGGCTGGTGGTTCAACGATCTCGAATGATCGGGGTCTGCCGTAGCTGACAGTGGAATGCGCAGCGCTGAGGTCAGATGGGCCTTGCAAGTCTGTTGAGCGCCAGGGCTGCTCGGCGATGGAGGCGGCCGACTTTTGCTCGAGTGCCATAGTTAATACTATGTTCTGCTAGCAATAAGCATTATCCGTGCGTAGCAGAGGCCAAAAGAGAGCGGGGTGCTGGAGATATAGTCGGTCAGGCATATGGCGGGGGCCAGATTGGGTTACGGGCCTGGGCTGAAGGATCATCGGCGGGATGATCCTATCGGGCCTCTCAGCGAGCTCCTCGTCCAACTTCGGCTCGGTTTCCGAACGCGGCATCACACTATGAGTCAGTGAGCTGCAGCTAAAACCTGCTGTCGGTGAAAAAACTTGAGTGTTCTATCTCACATCGATACGTGGTGTTGGTCGGATGACAGTATATTAGGCCATCATGCTCGGGTGTTGCACGGATGACAGGACCTCAATGGCACAGCTGCATAGGTGTTCGACTTATCTTATTAACATAATCTAGGCTATCAACATACAAATAATAGAGGAAGACGCTGGATAGGAGGATGTCTGCAGTGGACCGTGTAAAGGAGGAAGCACCTTGCTTCGTATCTCGAATTGTCAGTAAAACAATCTTACTTGCTTGATTAATAGCGTATCTTTCCCTTGCTGATCTCTCCCAGAGAGCAACAAGTCATAGCTAATGATGGACTCCACGCATTATATTCCGATAAAAGCAAAGATGTGAATTGTAAACCCGCAAAAGCTGGTCGCGCAAATCGCATCGATGTTGACAGATACGAAGGAGCCCGTCGATGGGTAACTCGGCTTTTGATCCATGATCTATCGAAATTTGGCCTGACAGATTCCCTTTGATGGAATTGAGCCACCGACCTGTTGAGTTGCTGGCTGTGTCTTCTTCAGAGGTTTGTTTGCACGGTGGTGTGGATGGAGAGTGTCGACGAGAGAGACATTGAAGCCGGGAACGAGGATCCCCGACCTCCCAACCCCCGTATCTTGCCCCGGGGCACGTGCTGGACATACCAGTCAGTTGATCATTTTGACCTCACATAATCACCAATTCCACTTAATCTCGGGGTATTGGACAAGAACATCGTGGGTGTCGAAACTGACTGTATCCGAGATGAACGGAAAATGACCTTTCAAAACAACCTCGCTTCGCTCCGGACAGAAGTGTGTTGAGCGCCAAAAGACAAGGCTGTTAGCCTAGATCGTTCTGCCAAGTCAACAATGATCTTATGGCGGATATAAAGTCAAATGGGAAATACTGCAGTGACACAGGCAAGCCACGGCGTATTCAAAACTCAAACATGCAGACGCCCGAAAAGCTTCTCTTGACGACCTTGACCCGCCCGATGAGGATCCTGTCAGGCATGAGACTAGCTAATCAGAATCAATGCTACAAGCGCTTCTTGAGACCTTTCGAAATGAATCACTTTGCTCCTGGCGCTGCTTTCGGCATTTTGTAAGTGATGATCCATCACGGATTTGCTTCGAGATAGCATTGAACATACGGGTGTAGGCACGCGGGATACTCTTCATATGCAAACACGCCAACCATCAGACCGAGAATGGTACGATATGCCCAGTGAGGGTTAGGGGGAAGAATGCTAGACAACACGGTAGACAAACATAAAAAAACATAAAAAAAAAGAGGAATACATACAACAGAAGGGATTCGCTGGTGGTCACCCACCCAACTACTAACCTCCCGGCGTGTGGCTTAAGTACGGCTGAGCGGACGGGAAGCCCTGTTTTCCACACCCTATGGTCGTATGTACTAGACCCCTCTAGGTACAAGGATAATATAGTGCAAAAGTTAAGAACACAAAGCTATCAGACAATGCACTGAAAGTTGTGGTGGTACCGCTGTGAAGATTTCTGGCTTGTGCCGATATTCAACCGGCCTTCTTGGCTTGCAAGACGTATAAAAAGTGACATGCATAGAATATGGGGTGGCTAAAGAGAGCTCGCATGAGCTTGATATGGCCCTCTATTTTACTTGGAATATGTAGTGTTATTCTCTGGGTTCTGATCATGTACTTACTAACATTTATTGTCGATGGTGGTTCTACCGTTGAGTCATTGAAGTATATCAGATATGGAATAAAGAATATGCGATCAGACTGACTAGTGCTATAAAGTGCCTACTTATTCTGTCATCCTCCAACCCCTACTCATCAGCAATTAGCTTGGATTGCAAGCGAACTACTTCGATCTCATGATATTTTCTGCATATGGACAGCTTCGATCAGACACATACAAAAGTATTAGTATTCTTAGTATTGACCGAAGCATTCATATAAGCGTTGACTCTTTGCTAGATAAGCCATAGACGGTGCCTTTACTGGATCATATATCCCATGGTACTCTTTGCGGTTATCCTATGTCATGCAGATTGAGAGTACTAACCTATTAACCCTACAGAGTCTATCTCCCTTCCCTTCCATCACCATGTCCCAATCTAGATAATAAAGTACTAAGGCTGAGATACATCTCTAATCAAGGTCTTATTTTAGATACTCCCACACGACAAATCATCATATCCTGTCTACCACCGACCGACAACCCAAGACGCGAATAAATTAAGAGCTAGTGAGACAATACATACTTCCTACTGCAATGCTGCACACATCTCATCTAGTTACTCAATAGACGTTATCCCAGCAGGTCACAACCAGCTTCCATCAATAACTTAATAACATCACTACCTTGTCCAGCACGCACCGCCTCTCGAATCAAAGTAGACTGGCTTTGGCTTGCGTCAGTAATTCTAGCACCGGCATTCAGCAAAGCCTTGAATACTCGCGGGTTTCCGCTCTGTATTGCACAAAATAACGGGGTGTGGCCTTCAACATCACTAGGATTGGGCTCAGCTCCTTGACGGAGCAGAAGCTCGACCAATTCCTCATATCCATGTCTGGCAGCAATATGCAATGGGGTTCTGTCTCGGTCATCGGCCGCTCTCACATATGTTCCAAATGAAGGGCCCGGAATATGAAAATATTCCCTCCTTCAGAGGCTATATGAATCGGTAAACGTCCATGCAGGTCGCAGAGACTTGCGTTTGCCCCTCCATCAAGCAGCGTCTTTACAACAGCCGTGTGCCCGTGATGAACTGACAGGTGTAGTGGAGTACTCCCATTGTGGTTCCCGAAATTGATGTCAACGTGCGTCTCCAGAAGTTCCCTTACTACATCATCATAGCCTCTGGAGGCTGCTGAGTGTAATGGGGTTGGTTCGAGCCCATAGTTTTGAATTTCTTCCTCCTTGGAGTCTCCATCGCTACTGCTCCCTGCCTCCTCTTTCTCTTCCTCATCGTTACCAAGGCTTCTAGTGTAATCCCGACTGTCAGCACCTTCCTCCATCACACTGGCCGACGACGGGTCTCCTATCCGACGAATAAGTTCCCGAATAACCGCGAGATGACCCGCTTGAACAGCCAAGTGCAAAGGCGTGAACCCTTTGCGGTTCGGAACCTTTGGATTGGCTCCCAGTTGCACAAGACGTACCACAATTTGGAGGTGGCCTCCCGCCGCGGCCAGATGAATTGGCTGGTCTCCGTAAGCGGTAGGCGCATTGAAGCTAAGTTTATTCGTCCTCACAAGTGCAATGAATGTGGATGTGCTGCCGTTTTTGCAAGCGATATGCAACGGCGACATTTCACCATTATCCTTGGCCTCGGGGTCGTGTGATGATATAAGTTCTGTGACGACGTTATCACGCCCAGTGTCAGCAGCATCATGATGTAATATCGTCCAGCCATTCTCATCTTTCCAGTCTGTACTGGAGCCTTCGGCCTGGATCAAACGAATGATGTCGATATCGCCTCGTCGGGCAGCCAAGCCAAGCAAATTTGACCCAACTTCCACCGGTAACTGTGCACGTCCTACATCGAGTAAGCGTTTCAAAGCCTCGGTTTTTCCTGACCTGATGGCGTCGAGGTACAGGGAGGGGTTAACTTCGAGAGCTGATGATACGTCTGGAAGCAGCTGCAGCAATATATCAATTGCCTGAAGATTTCCACGAATGACCGTTGCTTGGAGTGACTCAAGGCAGGTACATGCCGGAGCACCGAGCTTTTGAAGTATATCAGAGACTAGCTCTGTATCCTCTGTTCTACTAGCAAGAACAAGTGACTCGTTTGATGGGTTCGTTTCGAGTAGCAACTGACGGGCCACGTCCAGGTGGCCGAATTGCAATGCTATCTCTAATGCCTCAGTCATTTTCTTTGAAGAAACAGACTTGTCTTCGCTGGAAGATATCAAATCATGGACAACTTCGCATAGGCCATGTTCCGCAGCAAGAGTAAGTGGGGTGGACTCAAAGCAGTCTGTGCTGTTGAAACAGTGCGCGGTCCGCTACTACTCTGCCTAACGATTCCTACATTTTTCCTGAGATAAAAAGTCCAGTATGTCACGGATAAGTACGTTTCTGTTGTCTGCTGCGCGGTAATGGTAGGTCCAGTATCGTGCTGCGTACTCGCTGAAATCCAATGCACTCTGCTCCCAGGAAGTCCGGCATCCTTCTCGTGGGCCCGCTTGAGCTACCCCAGAGTGTTTCAAATATGTGAGACAGCTACGAGCCAAGTCGGCGTGGGTTAAAACATCGCAGCTATAGTCGCCACCAGAGTTCAGCTTTGCTGTGAGCTCATTTTGGGTATATTCTTTGACGGATTCGTTTGCAAACATAGGCTGGCCGTTGCGAACATCAATCAGCGGTCCCAAGGCACGGGTTAGATCACCCTCGAGATCAAGAGGTAGATGGCGAAGCATCTCCTGATTTGGTAGGCTGTCCCGGCACACGACAGCAACGGCTAGTTCCTGTACGTTAAGCGGCCGGAAGCTAAGCGTCATCCAAGACAAAGCTCTGCGCACCCACGGCATTAGAGCACTCAGCGGACCCAGTATCTGTGAATATAGTTCTGGCAGTGGTTTTTGCTGAAGTATAAAGCTGTTCTCAATTGAGTATGTAGTTAGTGGTTTCACAACATGTAATAAAACTTGCAGTCGCATCTTGATTTCCGAAGGTGTCGCTGATTCCGGAAGTGCATTAACAATTAGCTGCTCAAGCTCCGCGAAGCCCCAGGTGAGTGGCCCAAAGGTTCGCATCGTGAGGCTGATAATATACTCCACATTTTGACGCTGCAACATCAGTGGATTTAGGTTTATCACAGTCGCTTTCCCAGATGTTGCATTGTTGAGAGTTTGGCTGGTGGCAAGCACTTTGCAGGACAAACTTCGGGCGTGGGCCAACGCCACAAGTGCTTCTAAATGATCTGTTATCTCGTCTTCGCACATATCAATTCCTTCAATCACATAAAAGACGGATTTGATGTCGTGACACAACAATAAGGATTCAACAAGTATCCATAGCTCTTCGTGAGTGTGACTCAGCATCTGACCGAAGGAGTCTAGATTGGGCTGAATGACATCAAAGGCAGGTATAACAGTAGCCAGGATCCTATATATCAGCACTTCCAAGACGGTCGACATTGTTCTTTTGAAGTATGGAACCTCCCCAAACAATAAGTAAGCTGTAACCACGGCCTCTCCCGCTGATAGACCTCTTAACGGCGCACTTGCGGTTATCTCACCCCCGTAGACGCATAGTAGTTCAGAATTACCATTATCTCTCCAAGACAGATAAGTCTCGTTGGTCTCTAGGACCTTTGATATCTGGGAGCTATAGGTAGAGGGTACCAGGCTGCGATCATGTAAAGGAGCAAACCTGGAGAGTATCAGGTTGCGGGCAACACGGGCGTCCGACAGTTGTTGAGAATCTGATATACTCGAAATCAGCACGACCGAGGCTTCTAGGACTGTCATGAAGTAAGTGACTATCACATACCAACTGAAAATGGAATTGTCAAACGCCTGATTCGGCTTGATAGAATTTGCCACTCATTCAATACTTCCTCGGTTGCCCTTTCTGCCCGAAAAGCCACTACTTTCTCAGATGTAGCTGTCTTGTATCGCCCAGCAACCGATGAAAAAGAACTATAAATTTTTTCCAGCGCTGTAGTGACGTGGGACAATGTCGTCGTGATCCCCCATCCATATTGCTGGTTCAGTCGCACAGCTGTGCCTAGGCTGAGATCTTCCCATGATTTTTCAGTTTTTTTTCAGCGCTTCGACCTCAAGAAACAACCCCTGTCAGACATCGGCTAGCCCCAAAATGAACCAGATTTACCTGTCAGCTGTGGTCCTCAATGTGCCTTACAATGAACGATGTTTGGTGTCTAATCGATTTAAACCTTTGATCGTGGTGAGCAATCACTAACGCCTTCCGAGAAAAAAGCATTAGCCAGGATACTTGCTTGCTTTAGGACCGAGATTAATCACAAACCTGTTCAACAATGAGGCTGCCCACTCCGGAAGCAAGAGAAATGATTTCTGATCCTGTACGCTGGGACTGTTAATATCGCATGGATGCACTGGAGTTCAGGTAAAGAGCTAACATGCTTGTCCTCTCTTCCCGCTGAATCAAGCTCAACAACTCCCTACCCTGGGCCCGGAAACCGTAACCGTGAATAGGCTTATGGCAATAGCATCTGGTGATGGACAAAAGCTAAGAATGTGGGCATCTGGGTAATCGGATATGAGAATGTCCTCAAACCAGGACACCAGCTATCCGGTACATTCCTCGCAAGCGAACTCCAGTCCATCTAGGTCATGAGAAGCAACAATACTGGTATTGTCAGTATAAGTCCAGCGATGAGATAAAGATCTGTGAGGTGCATCATCCTGACGAGTAACTCACTCTGGTTCTGGTTATAATGATAGAGAGCACTTCCCCTTCGATTTCCGTACCCAAGGTCGAGAGAAAAATTTACCCTTAGCATTCGTGTCCATCGTATGTCGTGAACTAACCCAAGTCTGGTGGTGGTGGTGTCTCAAGTCGAGGTAGATCATTTGGTAGCTAAATACTACACCAACATATGGTTAGAGCAGGAAAAGCAGTGCGGACCTCGGAAACCCTCGTGGTTACGCAGAGTTCTAATGCAGTATCACGAATAGTAAGCCAACAAAGATGACCTGATCTCCTGAATTTGCCCAGAACAACCCTTTACTTAGGAGGGACAAGCCGGACTCGCCGTATTTGTTGGGTTCTTTCCGGCCGCTGGCTGATATCCGGGCACGGCTCCACGAGGCCGGCTTTATAATTCAAAGAAGGGCCTTCATATACGCCCAATTGGGCTCGTTAGAAGACAAACCACCCTGAGGTGGAAGGCGAGGAAGAGGAAGCATTCTAACTTTGCAGTACAGAGGAAGAGATATTGAAAACTGCTTAGGAGGTACCCAAGACGTATGTCGTTGACTCCGAAGAAATGCTTGGGGTCGTGGGTGTAAAACAGAATACCCTTACCTGATCACTTCTGCGTGACAACGGAAGGACAACTGTCGGTGAAACACTTGATATGCGAATTCCCATTACTCGTTTATCAAAGTGATCAAGGCCAAAACACCGCGCCACATATCGTAGGTGACCAGGACAATCTCTACCAACAGTTCTCAAAAACCATTCTGATCCCCAGCCAGGAAATCCCGGCTCTTCGCAGAAAAACCGGAAAATGTTAGCGCTCTGCACACAGACCTGCAGACTATGCTACCTATAGCCGAACTATTCCATCACGCCTTGGACGAGGTCTCAGATACAACATCGGGCTAATCACACAAGACATTCACTACTTTTCCGTAGCTGGGTGCACCAGCACCGTCGTTTAAGGGCACCAAATGGTCCATGCCAAATAGCAATCACCATCACCGAATCAGCACAGAATTGAATACTTCCTAGATGCTATCCGTTATTCCATATACGGATTTTCTCTACTTTTTATTGATCGCGAAGTTGTCTAGTACAACCTAACATTCTAATCAAGGTAAATATTATCCTTATCACCCAGAAGATATCAGCAACAACCATAACCAATAATACATCGTGCTCAGTGCTTCAACGACTTGACCTGAATCCAGCCATTGGAATCCCACATAGCCAACACTACCCACCTCCAACCATCAACCCCATCCCCAATAAGCCAAAAAACAAAAAGCAAAAAAGGAATCCTCCCCGACTGGGAGTCGAACCCAGGTCTCCCGCGCTTGTTCCCAGAAAGGGATTGACAAGCGGAAATCATGACCGTTAGACCATCGAGGATTTGATATATCATTCAGGTAATAATTTGACTACATAAGGCTAAAGCTGGTGGTGGGAATTGTGGCTGCTTTCGGACCGGTTAGGGCTTTTTAAGTGGGGCGGTTGCTACCATCTATCCAGTACCCAAGTACGAGTAGAAGTGTAGTTTGGTTCTGGGATGTAGTTACTTTTGGGATTCCGGTTGTAGTTGGATGTGGTTGGTTGCTGTTGATAGGGTATATAGTATAAGGGTTGGTTGGTAGAGGGAGGGTTATGGGGGAGATCAATGTAATTGGACTGGGTATCTATCCTGACGGAGCGTCGTCGGAGGTATGATGTAGATAAGTTTGATTGATTTGGAAGTGGGGAGTTGTTGTGGGATTGTTATATTTTTTAGTGTATTTCTGCGTGTGGGTAGGTCACAGTCCTCTTTATTTTTCTCGTTAGATGTACAAGCAATGGATGGTTGTAATTGCCTTATGTATATGTCTGAATACTTGAGCTGTCGCAATTCTTTGCTATTTGATAAATCAGTAGCCCCTGCTAGTATAGCATAAGTTAGAGGCTTTCCACAACGAAGATCCTCGATGGTCTAACGGTCATGATTTCCGCTTGTCAATCCTTCCCAGGAACAAGCGCGGGAGACCTGGGTTCGACTCCCAGTCGGGGAGATCTTTTTGTCATACTACTTTTTTGCTGTTTTGTTACTGATCTACCACAGACCTCTGGCACGGACATTTCATGAAAGTCAATTAATCCCTAGCTACCATTACCAAGCCTGTGTATGTATCCAATGCAAGCCGCATGAGCACGTGGAGAATTGAACGCAACCGCCTATGTCCAAGACAACCCGAATAAAGGAGACAGGCCTCCCAGAGCAAAACGATCTAAACAACAAACACGCAAAAGAATTACCTCATCGCAAGACAACAGACCAGCTGAAACAGAAATAAAGTTTAACAATTGCGAGAGTTTAGTTGTCAGTCTTCTCGTTGACTGCATCCTTAACTTGGGCTTTCTTGGCCTGAAGCAAGGAGCTGATATAGGCTAGCGACTCCTGCGAGAGCACCAAGCCGGTGGTGATGACGGCCTTGCCGCTCGCAACCATTCCGTCCCCACCACACTTCTTGTACTCAGAACTGTAAGTGTCAAAAACATGACCCTTTAGGTCATAAGCGAATCGCACTGGGAATGAGACACCATCTTTGATCGATCCCTTGAGCGTAGTTGTATCATCTCTGATGAATGGAAACGTTTCATCAACCTTGCTCAGGCCTTTGTCTCCGAGAGTATCTACGCGCGCGACATACGGAGCAACGAAGCCGTACGGCTTGGAGAAGTAAGGGAGGAACGGCTTGGCTAAGCGAGAGTAGCCTTGGTCGGCATATTCCAGAGACTTCGCGGCGTACTTGTTGGTCTTGATGACGGTGATAGAGTCGGAGACAACAGGATAGGATGTCAGGTGCTACCATAGGAAATAGAGATTAGCGCATGTTAGAATCGATCGACAATCGTGCATAAGGATAACTTACATCGAGGAATTGGGAGTGGATAGCCTCCCCGTTGACAGAGTTCTCGCCCATTATGCCGTTTTCTGCGTGAGGCATAAGTTTCTATCACATGAAAATCGCATTAGTATAGGAAAGGAAGTATAGAGTAGCGGAGCGATAAGATAAACCCTTACCCGACAATAGAATGCTCAAAGCTATATAGGTCCTGGTGGACAACACAAGCTATGGAGGGTCAGACGTGAAGAAGCGGTGACAAGAAGCGGAAAGTGAGGAGGATGGGGATGTTGAGGATAATAAAGGAAATGGAGGGGTGAGAGGGGAAAGGACATCACTTACATTTGCAGAAGGAAAGACGGAATACGGGAGCAGTTGGGATGGACCGGAAAGAGGTGAACCGTAGTTAAATTTAAGGTAGGTTCAGAGGAGAGAAGAGCGAACACGCCATCAGTCGATCCGATAGCTAGGATTTATGAGGCTTGAGTGATTTGATTTGTTTGTGAAATTTTTTTCTGTGCTAATTTTATTTTAGTTTTTTAATTATTGTCTTTCTTTATGTTAGTGTGATTTATCATGAGATAATAGAAAAAAATAAATATTTTATTTATTTTTCTGGGTAAGAAATAGAAAAAGAGAGCGAGAGCGAGTTGGCAGCATGTGATAGCGGGCCCGTTGGTGAACAAGTCGCTTTTTGGAGCTTGAATGGAGGGGCAAGCCAGCCGTTGGTTCCAGGAGGTTTTAGACCGTCGTAGGACGGAGTTAGTTGTTGCGTGCTCAATCCGGCGGCTTCATCGTCATTATCATTTCACCTGCAGGGCCTGGAACCTGGGATGAGCCTGGAGAAAACGCGACCCAAGATTGGATTGACCAGGATCGTGCATCTCCTTCCGTGCGCTCGCGCTCCTCCGACAGCTCGCATCCGAATTCGCACTGAACATAGTACTAGTCGCTATCGCGGAGCAGCGAGGATATGAAATAAGGATTCAGAACTGGACAGAGTGAGTTCAGACCCCTCGGAAGGCCGTGTCGAGCAAGCCACCCGCACTTGTGCCTACATGGTTCCCTCTTTCTTAGTCATGTATAGAGTAAGTCATGACTGGAACGGAATGAGAATCGAACGATTCATGATTTTGGTCTCGATAACGGCGGTAACGGTTGCGTTGTCGGAGTGGCAAGAGCCAAGTCAAACAAATGAACGACAGGCATCGGAACAGCAAATTAGGGCCTTGATTCGGGGCAATAGGCTGAAAGTAGTTGCAGCAGTGCAGTGTGGATGATGATGGAATCCGGAAGTTGCGAACAGTTGATTGACTTGGAAGGTTTTCTGGCTTGGAATCGCGGGATGGGCTGATAGCATGTGATTGCGGGTCGGGCGGCCCTAGTCGTTTTCTATCGCCCGTCGGCTGGTCTTCCTGCTACATACACTACACTAACTGTCATTGTAGTTCATTCCCGAACACACTCCTCATGCCTAATGTCATTTCCCTATCCATCTTGATCTTACCGGCCGTGATTATATGCCATCCTTTAAGTGTTCGTTTGGAAACATGCACGAATTGATAACCTTACAGTGGCCCTTGACTGGAATTCCTCGTGGCTCCGATAAGAACAGGACTCCGCCGTGGTTCGCGCCGCATGCTTATCAGGGCGCCTATTCACGGTGACTGTCACAAGGAAACCGGATCCCCAAAATTCCACCCCAACGATCCGGAGTACTAGTCTCAAGAAGCAACCAGCTGGAGGGTAAACGTTGAGGATCAGTACATCCGGAAAACGGACTACTGCTTTCCCCCTGCTTTTCCTTTTGTACCAGATGGGTAATCGCTCTCGTTGATCTCCTGCGGGAAGTGCAGGCATCATCGTCTTTGCGCCTGGACCTCGTCTCAGGTCCGGGGTTGGAGGCGTCTTTGACCCTTTGACCCTTTGACCCTTTGAACCATCACCTTTCTCCGTGGAAGACATCTTACTATCCAGACTGCTCCGTAGATTATTCTGGGATAGAGAGGGGTTTAGCTTGATCCACTCGTCCTCTTGGGCGCTACCAACGCCAACCGTGTGGTGGCAGTCCTGCAAGTGCTGTCCAGATCTGAGCAAGCTTCGACAGAATATGTCCCCATTGTAGTATCTTCCACGGGCTCGCCTCCAGGCCAGTCTCTTCTAGTGCTGACCATGTGCGTCGTACTTGTGTTCATGCGACAATGGTCGTACCGTGCTGGACTTTCCAATGCTGTCTGATTGTCTTGCTGCTGCATGTCGGTCGACGCTAGCCTTCCCGGAGGTCAATTCATAAACCTCGATCCCGATCAACTTTGACATATTGAAGCATAATGCAGTATCTTTGTGCTTAAAATCTGATTTATCATTGACGCCCAGTCCGGACGTAAGGTCACCCCCTCCCTCAACACCACCACTGTGTCTCTACCCGGCGATCGGAAGCAGAATGAGATAAAAGGCGCCAACAACCTGGACGGCCGACTCCTGGTGGCTTGCTTGCTGCAATCGCCGGCCGCGTAGATATCAACAACCAATGGCCTTTTCACATGTCCTGAAGGATTCCCATCGGTAGCTTTAACCATCCTAGTTGTTGCCATGCTGCCAGGATCGTAAAATACCCGGTCATTATCGACGACCGAAACTGAGGGATTGTCGCACGCCTAGACGGCTACTCCCTCTCTCGGGTAAGGAACGACGTGCACAGATCGCAACCTCTAATTGCACCTCCTCATTTCCACGGCTACATGGGACCCCCATGTAGTACCTTGCCAGCACCGGTTGGCGCTACACCTACCTTTCTGGTACCTAGCTTGTTTGGTTCAGGCGCAGAAGCCGGTGCTACCGTCATCTAGACGGAGGGGCAACATCATCCGTGCTACATTCACTAGTGAACATGGCCTCCTTGCACTAATCCACCACTACGCACGTTAGACGGAACCAAAGGATGAGCACCGTATCTACACAATATGACATAATCCCCTAATATAGGCCTGGCCTACGTTTCCTACAGGTGGGGATATATGCTTCTCCATGGAACTCCGCTTTTTACCCCAACATGTGGGATAGGCTGGGATTTCATGTACGGGGAATATCGGCCGTGCGGGGATGGGAGTACAAGCTCGGTAGGTTGAACGGAAGTAGGTTTCCAAATCTAGATCGGACCCGACACACACACATGTTCCCTTCCTTTCCTCGCAAGACAAAGCAAACAGGGGGAACTTGGAAGGGCCTGTGATGTCGGATGATTCGATGGCATTCTTTCGTTCCAAGATGATAAGTATGCTTCTGGTTGGAATGATCGAGCGAATCGTGGTGACTTCGGACTTGGTAATCTTTTCCGACCTGACCGGCTGCTGTAGTACGGATGCGTTCTTTTGTCTGCGCTAGGTTGTGCCATGCGTTGTTGGAAAGAGGAAGAAACCCCTGGGAAGCCGAGAATTCCGAAACACAAAAAAAAAGTTGAATTTGTTCATATTTTCCATTTCATTTCGAGACGGACGCCAGATCTGAGTGGCCTCCCTCATGATAAGAAAAATTGGTCAAGTCCTGGACCTGTACATCGATACATTCCCATTCTTCTCTCGTGCTATGGTATACTTCACGTGATCCCATGCTTTTGAACCGGACGTCTTCGATGCTTTTTCATTTTCCCTTTGCCTCATCTAAGACCCTGCGCGCTCAAACGACAAAACGCCCCAAATTACCCCGTTTAGAAACCTGTAGAACCGTCAGCATTTGCGAACCTAACCCAGCCAACGTAGCTGCAAAAGGTGATAAGAGTAAGACGTACGCAGAGGAGTGAAGAACCAACGGTTCTTGCCGCTGGTGTAGCGGTCCTCAAGGGCCTTCTTGACGTTCTTCTTGGCATCCTCGCGGGTGGAAACCTCCTTGAAGGTCTCGGTGGAGACGGCACCCTTGAGACCCTCGAGCTCGAGAGTGTAGCGAGTGGGCATCAAGTGGTTGTAGTTGACGACCTTGATGAAGGGCTTGATGCGGCTGCGCTTCTCGACGGTCTTCTTACCCATGCGGCGGGTGACCTTGAGGGGGTAGCGCTCGATACCGGCGACGATGGCGTAGGGGAAGGGGTGCGCCTTGGAGCCAGTGTCGTTAGGCTGGACAATGACGACCTGTCATTCGCGAAAGAAACCCTCGTCAGCATATCTATCCTTGCACATTCCGTTCGTTATATTCCCCGTGGTAGTTCGTCCGTAAATCGCGTTTCCGCTCGATGATTTCATTCCCATGCAAATCGAAGACTTATTTCTTCTTCCCAAGTCGGCAAAAATCATTCCTTCCAATCCATTCCACCTCGGGGTATATATATATGTCTGTCCTCGCCAGAAAATGGAGAAATCGGTTGTCGTACCTTCTTACCGGCGTAACGGCCACGGGTGATGATGGCCACACGGCCCACTTTCATGACTATCGTAACATCCTGTCAGTTTGGATTCGAAGACGAGAAAAATCAAGAGTCGAGGTGATGCAGCATTTCACTAACACTTCATTGTGAAAGTCCCGGTGAGCGGAGGTCGATGGGGTGGTTGTCGATGTGCTTCGGTCGAGTAAGTGAGGTTCTCCGCGTTGGACGTTCTATTTTTCTGAGCGAAGAGGGCTCAGGGCTTTGTGCGCCAAAATATCATTGGTCACCTTACCGACTGAAGGCTACTAGCCGAGTTGGGAAGGTTTCTCCAAACGGACTAGTGCCCGAGATGTCGGGGAGGTCGGACAAACTCACCGCCTCGATCGGGTCTTGGCTCTTTGTTTACCGGACAACCAAAGGACCGTCGGTTGCTATGACGGGAGCTTCGATGTGTACGCCGCACATTGGATCGGGCTTCCGTTGATGCCCCATGAGCTACCGTTCCTTTCAGCCAGGAACTCCACTTGGATGTTTGATTGTCTCTTATATTGACTGTTCAACCTCTGGAGCCTGCTCGTGTTCCTTGGTCTCTTGCAACCGTCTCGTCGCATTGTGTTTCGTCGTCCCTTGTTTCCCCTCATCTCTCATAGCAAGCGCATTTGTATCATCATCTTCCTTCTAGATTCTATATCCTGTTCCTGTTTTTTGTCGCCTATTGTCTTTCAATTCCCCCCCTCCTGCGTCTTTTTAGTTTTTGTTTTGACGATTTGATATGCCCTTTACGACCCCGATTGCTTTGATTTTGACGAACATTCCTCTCGCACATTCCTGATATCCCTCGATCGACTTGCTTTATATCCAACATCGACAGACATACCCTGTTTTTTCTGCTTTAACGACGATTAAGTTACATGATGCCTACGCATACACGAGATGGGTCCCGCGACCGGGAACTGGTCGTTAGACATCAATCGGTGCCCATGTATGTGCAAACTCTATCTTTGAGCCGCTCTCTTGGGCTATAACTATGAAACGCATCAGACTGACCGTGGACTGTGGAAACGAAGGTGGGACAGTTCGGATCCCGAACGGGCACCCCCTCCGCTCCCCATGAATCCCAGTGCTACTAGCCCTGTTACAAGAGGAAATGTCTCCCCAGGCATCCAAGCCGTGGCGGCGAATTTCCAAGAAAAGATGCGCGAAAACGCACCGAGCCCGTATACGACCAACCCCATGCCGCCGAAGTCCCCAGAGAAGTCCCTCATCAAGGGCCAATTTCACAGGCGCATGCAGTCGCTACAGAATACAGATGCTCGCAATGAATTCTTAAACTATCTTGAGAGCCGGTCACCAGAACGGCCTCTCCGCGCATCGACTTTTGATCAGAGCCCTAAGCAGCATGAATTAACGCCCGTGAAAGCTCCTGGCTCAGCGGACTCGCGCGACAATGAACAGGAGCTGCCTAACTTGCAGATTTCAAATCGATACCTTTCAAGGCCAATCCTAGGCGAGAGCACACCTCCGTCGGCGACGATGTTAGCTTTGCAGAACATGCAGCTGCCTACCGAGAGCGTCGAGCCATCGAAACCAAAAAGTAACGATGCAGACCCGTTTATTGGGCCTAGGCGCCCCGACAACCACACCTTCGAATCGTTATCTACCCAGATACTCAGCCTGACAGATATTGCGAGTAACCTTCAGCGCGAAATGGCTCAACTAAGCCGACGAAGTAAAGACAATGCCACGGACCTGGTCAGTCTCAAGGCTGCGACTAATGCCCGAGATGAGGATATTCGCAAGAGCCTTCGTGACTTGTCCTCCAGCCTAGCCGCAAAGTTCCTTGATTCTGATGCTGCCACAAGGTGGGACTTCAGTACTCTCCTGGGTTCTGAAAACGGTATTAACAATAGGGAACCGGATAGTTCTCCGAGCTCGAAGAAGAGCTATTCAGCACCACGAATGTCAAGCCCTAATCCATTTGCCGCAGCAATGGAGCGCGAATTGTGTGGATCTCCTACGCCTATCTCTGATGGTTCCGCCAGCATCGCATTACTAGAGAAGGTCCTCCGGGAGATGGGGACGAAGGAAGGTCAAGACAAGCTTATAGAAATGGTTGAGGAGATCAAAGCCAGGCCTGTCTCCGAAACCCACGAAGTATCAACTGATGAGACGATCACGAGGATGCTTGAAGAGATTCTCGAGCATGTGAAGGACGACCCGGGAAACAAGGCTTTGGTACGCTCTCAGGCTTGGGCCGGCGCCGACAGCGTCCCTCCGCAGGGAGAGCCAGATGGTTCCGGAACAAGGTCGCTGGACGACGAACATGCATACTCTCCCGATATAGAAACCCACAACGTCCGGCCCGCGGAACGCTCTTTGGTGCCCGCCGATCCCGAAATGGCAGACGAGATGCTAGCGATCATGAAACGAGTAAAGACTAGCGTCATTGAAGGGGGTGGCATGACGAACGAGGTCAAAGCTCTTGTACGAGAACTACGAGGAGAAGTTTTAGGAATGGGAAGGAATCTGGCTCGCCAAATCGAAGGAGTTGGGACTTCCCGCGCTATAGAAGATAGGCCGGATCGTCCCACTCATGAAGAGCTGGCTGGTATTGTCGAAAATAGCCTGCACGAGCTTAGAGACCAACTCGCCTCAATTATGGATGAGAGTAGGCACCACTCTTCATCCATCTCGGATTTCAGAGCCGCCATGAATGGCAACGAACTCTACTCTGTCGTCAAGAGGGCTCTAGATGAGCTTGACTTGTCTCAGTTCCGTGCCGAGCCCCACGGTGTTAATATGGAAAAGGAAGAGATCCTAGAGACCGTTAGGGAAGCCTGGGAGACATATAAGCCTGAGATCGAGTTGCAAAACTTCGGCTTGGAACGAGACGAGATCCTGGAGTGCTTGTCAGAAGGGCTTAGAGAGTATAGGCCGCAGCACGAGGATGCCGTTACTTACGACCAAGTCTTGGCGGCTGTCCAGGCTGGAATGCAGAGCTTCGCACAACCACCCAGCATTACGAAAGAAGAGATCGTACAAACAATTCACGAATGCCTTGCCGGTTTCGAACTTCCTGCACCTCGGGGCGTGGAGCGCGAACACCTTGATGGCATGCGCGATGAGATCCTAGAAGCCGTCACACACTCCGTCACGTCCCAAAGTGCTCTAACAAGAGACACCCTGGACTCTGGGCTGGGTCGTGATGAGATTTTGAGTGCTCTCTCGGAAGGACTAGAAGCGCATTTTGGAGCGACCAAAGCCATCGAACACCCTCACATCACGAAGGATGACGTTGCCAATGTGATAAATGAAGCATTCATTGCACAACAGTCGGTCGTCAGCACCAACGTTCAACCTACTGTGTCCCGTGAAGAGATTCTGCACGCCATCGCTGAAGGCATGGAAAGCCAGAACTCAATCACGAGAGAGATCGAACTCAACAGGGATGATCTTATGGAGGCTATCGCGGCTGGTCTGGCGGAGGCCAATGAGGCGAACCAAAGCGTCGGCGAGCAGATGCTGGAACGTGTTCAGGAGCAGCTCGATGGCATAAAGGGGGAAATGGGCCAACATTTCGGTGCTAGTGAAGAGAGCTCGGAGCAGTTGCTTAACGCTATCAAAGATGGCATTGCTGTCGTGCGACAGGAAGTGGAAGGCTACGCCTCAACTGCAGCTGAAGCTTCCGGGAAGCATGAGATCATGGACACTGTCAAGGAAGGGTTCCGCCTATTGCAGGCTGACATGGAGAAGACGATCACCGAGACCGCCATGTCTAATGCGCCTCGCGGTAACCCGGATACTCCAGAACTTCTTGATGCCATGGAGAAAGAATTTGAGCATCTGCGCCAGACCATGAGCTCCTTGTTAATTCGCAACAACGCACCGAATGAAAAGGACGAAATTCTCGACGCCATCCGCGACATCTCCGAACAGCAAAAGTCTTCGCAAAACGATGATGTTCTTGCGGCTATTCGCGAGCTGTCGGAGAAGCAGGCGGGTACGCCTGGAGAGGATATCCTTGCAGCTCTTCGTGAACAGTTGGAGGAGCACAAGTCTGCCAACAATGATGCAATCCTTGCCGCAGTTGCGGCAGCGTTCGAACAGAAACCCGACGCGCCGAGCGATGAAGTTCTTACTGCCCTCCGTGAAATCTCCGAGAAGCAGAACAACACGAACAGTGATGAGATTCTTTCTGCCATCCGTGAGATGTCCGAGAAGCAAAGCGGTACGAACAGCGAGGAGATTCTTGCTGCCATCCATGCAATCTCCGAAAAGCAGAACAGCACAAACACCGAGGAGATTCTTGCAGCAATCCGTGAAATGTCAGAGCAACACAAGGCAGCCAACAATGATGATGTGCTTGCTGTTGTACGCGATATGTCCGAGCAACACAAGGGCATAGACAGTGATGCAATCCTTGGAGCAATCCGGGAGATGTCTGAGCAGCACAAGTCTACGAATATCGACGACATTACGAACATTATCAAACAAGAATTTGAGGAACTCCGTCACTCAATGAACATGACCTTGGTCCGTGCGGAACCTACGGAGCCCAAGACCGACAAGGATGAGATTATTGCTGCGCTGCATGAAAGATTCGACAGCTTCAAGGGCGAGCAAAGCCAGCCCAAAGAGACTGTCGAAAGCGACAACTTCACTAATGGTGAAGTAATCGAAGCCTTGAACGATGGTGTTGGCACCATTCGTGAAGACCTTGCAAAACTCATGGAAAAGAACGTGGAGTTCGACTATTCGGAGCTGCTGGATGAGCTGAAATCAGGGCTTGGCAGTCTGAAGGCAGATGTTGAGATGCTGAGGCAAGCTCAGAAAGAGAGCGAAGAAGTCGAGACGACTCGTGGAGGTGAACTGATGCTTGCAAGTGACACTCCACCCGTTGATTCCACCAGCAGCAACGATATTGAAGGTTTGAAGGCCCTTATCACCCAACTTCAAGTCAAAGTCGAGGCAATTGAGTCAGCTCCCCGCGCTGCGGAGGCTCCTGAAGACATGCTGAAGAAAGAGCACCTCGATGAAGTCCTCCTTGGACTACACGAACTTCAGAGCTCAGTAACAGGCATCGTCGCTCGTGATCAGCCTGCAGATGAGGCGACAGCCAAGAAGGAGGATACGGACGCCATTGAAACCTTGCTGCGCAACACAAAGGCACAGCTTGATGAGATGACGTTCCCTGCCCCTGACGAGATCGCAAGAGCGG